AAGCTGGAATGTGTCCAGAGGACCCCAGTAGCATTTTGGCCATCTTCCGACCTGGGAGTCCCATCTTCCAATGGCATATCGACATATCTCTGGTTGTACTGGTCCATTTAGTTTTCTTGGCAAGGATACTGGAGTGGTTTGCCATTGCCTTCCCCAGGGATCACGCTTGGTCTGACCTCTCTGCCACAACCGTCCCGTCTTGGGTGTCCCTTCACGGTTTCGCTCATGACATCATTGAGGTGGTCAAGCTCCAGCGCCCCGACAAGGCGGTGATCCTTTGCTGGACAGGAAAGCCTAGAGAAGACAACCTTTATTGGCTTGTGCCAGAGTCTTTGCAGTTCAATCTTTAAATCCTCATATCGTGTCAGCTTTTCCAGTTGTTTCTCTTCAATCCTTCTGTCGCCTGGGATTACAACATTGACGATCCATACTTGTAATCCCACCAGTTCTTTGGCACAAATTCCAATGAATCATCTGAGCAACTGTGTTATGCCTCTGCTTGTAGTCTGTCTGCGCAATCTTCTTGCAGCAGCTGATGTGATCTATTGTTTCATCTGCTGCCTTGCAGAGTCTACACTTTGTGGGTGCTGTGGCAATGGAGACTGCAATCTGGGGTCACCATATGTAATTGCCATATATCACCCCACTAACATAGATGTCAGCAACAAAAAATATCTGTTCCCCTAGATTTCTATCAGAACTTTTAAAAGCAACCCTCTTGATAGTCCAGTGCAATACATGGAGCTCAAAATGCTAGTGAATTGTCCTGGTTTGTTTCCTTCCTTTTTTGACCAAATATTTTTGCTTGAGTGTTCACAGATGGAACATTGTGTCTGTAAAAAGGAAGCACTGCAATTAGATGGCTTTAAGCAATCCAGCTTTGCACCCACCCCAAAAATCCTAGTACATCCTCCTATGACATGCATATAATAGTGTCAGATTTCCCTGAAAGATTTTTCAAGAATTACTGGGCTAAAGTACTTAGAGCATTAAGAACACTTGAAGTACATTTCAGAAATATAGGCTTTCATGTCTTTTGTTTAAGAGAGATCTGTCTCAAGGAAAATCCAGGAATTTGGAATGTTTTGTGTGTGTGTGTGTGTGTGTTTCAAAGATGTCAGACAGGAGAAATTACACTGGAAGAACTTTGCACAAGGAGGATTAGGATGATATATGTCCCATGATATTGGCCATTTTGGCTATGTTTCCACAGAAGCCTATACAATATTGGCTTCAGCTAATAGTAACCTTTTGTAATATTGGTTTTTATTTTCATTTATCTTTTATTTAAGTTTAGTATAGCCTTGGAAGAAAGGGAGTTATCAGTAACAATTACTTGCTGCAATTCATCCTTGTCCAGTTAAATGTAACATAGTGTTAGAGCAGATACCATTAATTAGCTCATTAGAATTTTTCAAATACGTGTGAAATAAATTGAAGCAAACATCCAATGGAGTGCAGACATGAAAGATCAAAGAGGCTTTATACTGAATAAAGAGGCTTACCCAGGGAGAGCTTGGTGCCTTTATGTTGGCTATAGAGACACATTTCTGGTGTTGCATCTCCAGGGCTTCCGACAGCTGAATGAACACTTGTATTTGTTCTGTAGATGTATTTGCTTTGCGTATAGTGATTTGCTTGAGAATATGGAAGGTACAGGAATTTATGTTATAACATCTAGAGATCTTGCCCAATAGGTTAATAAATTCATTAAGCTTTACAGTTCTTGGTGTATTCATTACCTCTATGTCTAAAAGAGCAGTTTGTCATTGTCATTGGCAAACACTCTCCAATGTATTCATTAGACAAGTGTTTATTTTCTAGATATGCTACTGACTTAAACCAGGACTGGACATCTTGCAGTCCTCTAGCTGTTGTTGGACTGAAACTCCCACTATCCTTCAACTTTGGCTTTGCTGGCTAGAACTGATGGAAGTTGCAATCCCATATCATTGGGAGGACTGTAAGTTGCACAGGCTTAAGTGGTAAAGAGTTCATCACCTTGTTCATTGCCTTCATGAGATTCATGAAGGCAATGAAAGGATATTCAACACAATATTATTTCAAATGTTACGATAGGTAGAAAAAAGGTCACAATTTACAGCACTTGGTCAAAACTTTCCTATGTATACCAACAACATGTACAGGTAGATGAATGCATAGTTGACGTCCATAGTGATCTCAGGGTGCTTCCAGACAGCACCAAATATTGAGTTTTAGTCAGGGGCAGAAAAAACCCTGGGACCTGAGAAGAGGCCCACATACAGATCAGTTGGTCCTGGGATTTCTGGCTCTGTTGTCCACACTTGCTACTTTGTTCTGGGATTTTGCAGCCCCAAGATGTCCGCTGTGGGGTGTCCACCAAAAATATCAGCATTTTTTAAATAGAAACTTGAGATGCAAATATACGAATATGCAAATTATTGTGTAAGTTCGCTTCCTGGGTTATAGAGGCTGTATGGCCATCTGAGCAGACAGGTTTGATGGTGTACTTGTGCCTGGGAACAACGGAGTGATGTTGTTTTGTTTTCCCTATGCACTGAAATGTGACCTGCAGGACATTTGTAAGCTTTGTCATGACCCCTAATTCACATTGAAAATGAATAATCACCTGATACTTCTCTGGTTAGAATAATACTTTGTCATATCTTTGTTCCCTTGCACCATGCTCTTGAGATAAGTTGATTCTCCCAGCAAGAATTCAGTTGAAACATTAGCCACCAAGGCTCCTCTGATTTTGTTCCACCTTCCATCAATCTAGTGACATTATGGGCAGAAGGAAAGATATTAATTTCAGTACCCACAGGGGAAACCTTTGCTCTGGTTGTCTGTGCCCAGATAGCAAGGAGAAGCATCCTACAATACAGAATGATGTGTTGCTGTTTTAAGCACTGGCTCTCTGAATAGTTGCAGTATTTACCACTGGATGCAAAAAGATAAAAAACCAAACAGAAGTACACAGCCTCTCTCCCCCTTATTGGTGAAGAAAAGAAGCGGAAAAGACAAGGGATTGTTTTATCATCCTGAGTCTCCACTCTTAACTTTTTTTCTAAGAAAACAAATGGCAGTGGTTAAGAAAGATTTATCTGGTCAAGTTTTGCTGCATCTCAGAAACACCAGATAACCAATGGCAAAGAGAAAAGGCAATATGAAATTCTCTTTAACCCCTTTACATCTGTTGGGTTTCAACCCTGGACTGCACAAGTCTCTTGTGCCATCAAGTTTCCAGACCTCAATGAGTAGATAGAGACTAGAGGATTAAGTTGAGGGATTCCTTTCCCCACATTCCTATGCATGTTTACCAAACGGGCTTTGTCTTTCCTCCTCCTGCTAGCTACTGTCTCATCCCCTTTTGAAGATATAGCAATGGAATATCTGTGAGGGAACTTCCTTTTTAAAGGTATTTTTATTGCCCTGGACTTGGTCATGTGACCATTCACCATTTTCCAGTCTCTTCTACCTTTTCTTCCTTCTAGTGAGGACGCATTTTGCCTCTCTTTAGGCAAAATGTAGCTGCATGAATTCTTTTTTTTCTTTTTATTTTTTACCCCTTTACTTCTTTATAAGATGAGATTTAGTAAGCTAGTTAGGTCCAAGACCTTTTCTATCTAGAATGTATTTCTCTTACTTCAATAAATATTTTTGAACCAAAAGTTCTGACTCTGCAATCCTGTGCCATCCTAAGGAATATAAGCTTATCCCAGCTCATCATTTGTAAGTTTCTGCTGGTTATGAAGTTTACCTCTGGTACTCTGCTATATTTATGGTGGAATCACCCCAACTGAGGGTTATTTTCGAGCTTAACAGCCCAGAATCTCCAAAAAACATCTCTACTCTGGATTCATATGAGAAGACTGGTTGGCAGAAAAGGCTCCAGTGCAATGGACTGCATGTTGATTCAGAGGTTTGTCTTATTGCATTTGGATAGCTTTATTTCCTGGGCTGTGAAGCTTGGGGCTGAATCCAGTCCTCCTGGATTCAACCCTATAAGGTTATGCTGCAGTTCCCCAAAGTCTGTTCATATAGGTTTTCCCTATTCTAAAATTGAAACCATCTCTTCAAAGGCCTGATTACAGACAGTAAAACCTTTAAGGTAAAATATGCTTATATTTTTGGGTCCCTCTCACCAGACTCCATCTACACTACCATATAATCCAGATTATCAAAGCAGATTGTCCACATTATCTGCTTTGAACTGAATCTATGGCAGTGTAGAAGGGGCCTAAGATGAGGCCATAGCACAGAACACTCTGGTCAACACCATGGGTAGGGCTCCTTGCTCTGATTTAAACTGCTAGAAATGCCCCAAATTATACTTAAGACCATTGTCATTTGGCATTTAGTTTTCTGAGCCACTGCAGTAAAACGCTCTCTATGTGTGTTTGCTTGGAAGTCAACAGTTTTCAATGAAGTTACCTTTGATAAGTGCAGAGCACTGCCGCCATTACTGGGGCAAGGAATCTATATAAATAAAAATCTCCCTGTAAATTGATGCCAAGGGTTTTGTTTTTGTTTATTTGTTCAGTCTCCAGCTCCTTCAAGGTCAAGCTAGTTACCTCAAGGTGACTAGCTTGCCCTTGGTCGACCCCTCTTCCTTTTTCCTTCCTTTTCCCCAGCTTCATTATCTTCTCCAAGCTATCCTGTCTATATCTAAGGCCTGAAAAGGAAGCTGGCAGTATCAGAAAGCTCTGACACACCTGAAAGAACATGGAATAGCTACTCAAAAAATCAATCAGAATTTTTATGTGATTGGAACACCTCCTTTAAGAGGAAAAGTCACCATGATTGGGGCTGCTGAGTACAGAAAGTAAAGAAGAATGTCTAGGAGAAACACGCTCAAGCTGCCTTAAATTATGCATAGTATTCAGAAGGTTTTCTCCTTCTTCACCCACTTTAACCATACTAGTTAAAAAGAATTGGTGCTTGCCCCTTCACTAGAGCCTGGGTTCACAAGAATTCTCAAACTGACTTTCCTTGAATTCTGCACAAAACTCTTGTACTTGGAGGGTGAAAGGAGACATCTTTAATACAACTTTTCTACAAAGAAACACTTATTATATGTCCCTTCTGAAGAAAAGGGAAGAGAGAAAGAGATCAAGTTGCCTGACCCTTACAAAGATACACAAGAGTGTTCAAACCAAAATGAAGTCCTTTGCCTATTTAGTTACTTCCCCCCTATTTTCTCCAGTTGTTCCTCTTGACAGCTTGTCAGGATTTTCTTCTCTCTTTCTCTTTTCCTGGAAGGGTCTCTTCTTTCATCACATAATGTTCCTTGTATAAAAACCTTTTATATACACATATGTATGTATGCATTATCCAACGCAATTGTTGTGCCAAACTCGGAGAAGTGCCACCTTGGTTGTCAAGTTTCTAGAGCTGGAACAGTTGTCTCTCGAACAGCTGCATTTGTGTAATCCTGAAGGCAGGTGGCCCATGCTAGCCACTTGCCACTCACCACCACACTGAAGTCTGAAAGATTTGTCCTTCTTGTTCTCTCTTTTGTGTTGTTGTTAAAGTCCCAAATGGATTTTGGCGTTTAGAATTCTTCTCTTTTGTTTCCACATGATACAGGGCAAAAATAATCCCATTTATAATGTCTGAATCATTCCCCATGCTGTTTGAAAATTGTAGATTTTTTTAAAAAAATGACAATTGAAAAGAAATGTTCATGCCATTCCTACTCATTGTTTTCCTTCCAAAACTCAGTGATTTCCGCATCGTTCTTGGCTCTTTAGAATGGCCTGCTCACAGTTCTGGGTGTGATGTCCTTGCACTTGGTTTTAGTTCTTCAATAGCAAAGAGACTGCTTCACCCCCTTCGTATCTCCCCAATGTCTTATTGTTCTTTTGAGTGAAATAGCAACTTGAAGCAGCTGTTAGATCCCATTGCTTTGCCTGCGTTCTTGAACTTGAAATGTGACATGAAATTCTGAATGTCAAAGATGGGGGGCAGGGCAGAGGAGATGGAGTTTGTGCATGACAAGGGGAGCCTTAGACATGGGCAGCTCAGCTCAGGAGGGATCCAGCACAGAAGGAAGAAGAACAGTGAGCTGCAAACCAAGATCAAAAGCTGTTACAACACAAATCGACTCAGTTTCAGCTCTGTCACCACCAGTCCTACTTAGGTAGAGAGGTCTGACTAGAGGGGATTGAGAAGATGGGAAGACAGCTCTAAAACCAATAGAGATCCTTGCTTTTATCCTGAGGCTGCAAACCTGAGAACAGAGAGAGAAAGAGAAAAAAATTGGAAATAAACCAAAATAGAAAGGGAAAGGGGGAAATTTAAAATAAGGACAGAAAAAAGTCAAACACTGTCATTTTCTTGCATGGGCAAATAAGCTACCTTTTGTTTGGAGTTAGGTGAGGCATTTTGATTTCACTTTTAGTGGCCACAGGATCCTGGGTTTGTAGTTTAGTTGGGCACTAGAAGAGCTCTCTGGCAGAGAAGGTTCAACACTCCTTTGCAAACCCCAGGATTCCACAGGAGGGCAGCCATGGCAGTTAAATGGAATGATAATGCTATAATTGCCTGAAAGGGCTTTTCATGTCTAAGGGAGAGGCAGTGGTGCCAGGGCTCGGATTTGCCTTTAAGCCTGACATTAAACAATTACTTGTGATAGTGAGAACTAATCCCCATCCAACCACACTACCAAAGGGTTTGCCTTATTTCAAGTGGTTATTAGAGAGGTGAGGCCAAGATGGTGGACAAAAGGATGCCAGAAAAACTAGTCTGCCCTCCCCATTTTTGGGTTTGACTTTTGCAGATTTGGTTATTTGTGGATTGGATGAAAAATATTATCTCTAGGAATCTTGAGGTTGGGTTGCTGTGAGTTTTCTGAGCTGTATGACCATGTTACAGAAGTGTTCTCTCCTGACATTTTGCTCACATCTAATGTTAAGAGAGAATGCTTCTGGAACATTGCTATACAGCCTGGAAAACTCACAGCATCCCAGTGATCCTGGCCATGAAAGCCTTTGACAACAATCTTGAGGTTCGCCAGTGCAGCTCTATGGTCAACTTTTGGCCAAGTGGGAAATATTAGGGGAACACCAAATACCCATCATTCCACTTCCCATTGGAGTTACTGGTACATTTTTATAAAGTCAGAAGTACTTGAGAAACTGCATGTTGCTTCTGGTGTGAGAGAATTGGCCATCTGCAGAGACATTGTCCAGGAGATGCCTGGATGTGTTATCATCCTGTGGGAGGCTTCTCTCATGTCCCTGCATGGGAAGCTGGAACTGACAGATGGAAGCTCACCCCATCTCTCAGATTTGAACCACCAGCCTTCAGGTCAGCAGTCCAGTCAGAGCAAGGGTTGACCCATTGCACCACTGCGACTCCACTAGTGGTACATGAGATATCGAGACATATGACATTGTATTTAAACCAGATGCAAACAAGAACAATCTATTTCTTTTGCATATATCAAACTAGCTATTGCCACCCTGAAAGAGAAGGGAAAAAAGAAAGAAAGAAAGAAAGAAAGAAAGAAAGAAAGAAAGAAAGAAAGAAAGAGGGAATGTGAAGGGAAAAACCCAGTTTGTATACCCTAGAGAATTTATATCATTCTATTAGAGATAAATAGTTTGCTGTCAAGAATCTGAAGAAGTATAACATTCCAAAAGTTTTTGCAAGGAAAAGGCCATCTCCATTTTTTAAGCATAATTTCAAATGCGACTATATATTCTTGGGTTGCTGAAAGTGGAATGAAAGTTACTAAAAGAGTACTGTCACTGCTTTGTGTCTCTTTCTCTTCCTGTGTGATACAAATGTGTGACTGCCAACTATGGGTAGAAAGTATTAGGAAATTCATGGACTCATGGCATAATATAACACAAAGTGTAACTTCATGTGTTAAATGGGATGAGAAGGGAAAAGAAACAGGAATGTTGGCATCTTCTGTGGTAACACAAAGTATGGCATTCTACGATGCAGGGAGTTTCCTTTCACTATACCTTCCCATCTTGATTTTATAATAATGGCAGAGGCTGTTGAGGTGGTGAGGTCACACAGACACACACAGATGTCTCTTGTGGGCCTTACCTGTGTCCACATTGAGGCCTAAACTCTGTGCCATCTCCCCTGCCGGACTCGCGAAAGGTGCAGGCGTTGTCCACGCTGATGTGGCAGGCTCACTTTTGCCTAGTTCACACTGAGGGCTGACAGGCGTAGGCACAGAGCCAGGCGTGAGGCGGTGGGGGCGCACAGAAGCAGCAGGCACCAGGAGCGAGCCATAGCGAGGGTCGAAGTGGGGGCCATATACCTCGTGTACAGTGGTGGGGCGGGGATAGGCCGAGCTCTGTGTGCCAATGTAAGGATGGTGGTGGTGATGGTGGTGATGGTGGTGGGCAGGGTGCCAGGGCTCTGGGCCGCCCTGGTGGAGGTGGCTGTGTAATGAGCCCGGAGAATAAGGGTCCGCTGTGGCAAAGGGCAGTTCGCTGTGGGTGGTGGCTGCCAGAGGGCTCCCCAAGGAAGCTGGCACTGAAGAGGGTTGGTACGTGCTGTTCCAGAAGGAGGGTGGGAAGCTGCGTTGACTCATGGGGAATGATCCATCTGAAAAAGGAGGGCAGAGAGAAGAAACATTCAGAGAAATGAAATGGTGCCTCTGTCATTTTTACTGCTGTACTACTCTGTATATAACAACGTTTCTCAATCTGGGGGTCAGCAACTACAACTCCCAAATGTCAAGATCTATTTTCCTCAAACTCCACCAGTGTTGATATTTGGGCATATTGAGTATTTGTGCCAAGCTTGGTCCAGATTCATCATTGCTTGAGTCCACAGTGCTCTCTGGATGTCAGTGAACTACAACTCCAAAACTCAAGGTCAATGCCCACCAAACCCTTCCAGTATTTTCTGTTCGTCATGGGAGTTCTGTGTGTCAGGTTTGGTTCAATTCCATCATTGGTGGAGTTCAGAATGCTCTTTGATTGCAGGTGAACTATACATCTCAGCAACTACAACTCCCAAATGACAAAATTAATCCTCCCAACCCCACAGGTATTCAAATTTGGGTGTATTGGGTATTTGTGCCAAATTTGGTCCAGTGATTGAAAATACATCCTGCATATCAGATATTTGCATTACAATTCTTAACAGTAGCAAAATTACAGTTATAACATAGCAACGAAAATAACTTTTTGGTTGGTGATCATTGCAACATGAGGAACTGTATTAAGGGGCTGCAGCATTAGGAGGGTTGAGAACCACTGGTATATAATATCCATATTTGAATTCGTTTCCAGGACAAATTGCCCCCCCCCCATCTACAAGAGTACCATTGGCCCTCTGTATTCATGGATTCTGCATCCATGGATTCAACAATCCAATGACCTGAAAATATCCCCCCCACACACACACACCAAAAAAATTTCCAAAAAAGGAAACCTTATTTTGCCATAAGGGATACCATTTTACTATGACATTGTATATAATGGGACTTGAGCATCCAGAGATTTTGGTACCCATGGTCCTGGAACCAAACCTTAGAAGCATGTGAGAAGATAATACTTTATCACATATGCACAAAGAATAATCCATTATTTTCAGTGCAGTATAGGTATACCTCAGTAAACAGTGTAGATACCCTCACGGTCATTATTTCTTTTAACAGAACATTTAGTACTGTGGGCAGAAATGAAATGGAAAAAGGGATATCATAAAAAAGAGACGTTCAACTGTTTCAGCAAACTTTTAATTCAAAAGTACCAAAAATGCATATGAGAAATGAAACAACCAAGTCATGAAAACCTAGCATAAATAAACAATTTTTAACATTCTAGGGATTGTCTGAAGACTTCTTCCAAAATGCATCCAGGAATTATTTTCACCTTTCACCAGTCTCGACTTTCAAATGCAGGGAGCAGGGTGAGCTCCCTCTGTCAGCTCCAGCTTCCCATGCAGAGACATGAGAGAAACCATCACAGGATGGTAAAACATCCAGGTGTCCCCTCAGCAATGTCTTTGCAGATGGCCAATTCTCTCATACCAGATGTGACTTGCAGTTTCTCAAGTCACTCGTGACACACACACACGCACACAAAACAACTTTTGTTGTGATTTCATAACTAATGATCCCATCCAAAATACTTTAGATGAAAGTGGCTTTGGGGATGAATTGCTATAGCTTACTATTAATTAATGTAATCTCCTTGATCTCCTTTATTCATAAGTTACTCTGCAAAACTTCTGAGATCTGTAGCTTGGTGATTCTTTGAGTTATGGTTCCTTAATAAAGCAGATTGCTATATTAGTAAAACTGCCCTGACAACCTACATGATGCAAGGAACCTTCTTAGTAAAGGTAAAGGTTTCCCCTGAAATTAAATCTAGTTGTGTCTGACTCTGGGGGGATGGTACTCATCTCTTTTTCTAAGCCAAAGAGCTGGCGTTGTCCGTAGACACCTCCAAGGTTATGTGGCCAGCATGACTACATGGAGCGTCGTTACCTTTCTGCAAAAGCAGTACCTATTGATCTACTCACATTTGCATGTTTTCAAATTTCTAGGTTGGCAGAAGCTGGGGTTGACTATAACAGGATGGGCTTTATACAGTTTATGGGCTGCATTTTCCCTATGTTCGAAGACAGTGTCTAGAGGAGGAATGATTAGGCTGCCATTCTCCTGTCATTTACTGGGGAGTAAGATCCATTGATCCCAGTCAGCCTTATTGCTGAACAGACTAGTCTAGAACCACACACATGTTCTTTATGTCCATTCTGATCTGTGATCATTCACGGATGTAAGAAACAGTGTACCAAACAAAGGGCCCTTCCACACAACCCTATACCATAGAATATCAAGGCAGGAAAACCCACATTATCTGAGTGTGGACTCAGATAACCCAGTTCAAAGCAGATATTGTGGGATTTTCTGCCTTGATATTCTGGGATATAGGGCTGTGTGGAAGAGCCCAAAGTAATCATGCAAAACTTGGAAATTCACTTTGGGGATGAATTAATATCCTGGGATGGGAAAGCCATCTCTAACTGAATACAGGTAAGATGATGTTCTGGGTGAACATCTTACAGTTGCGACATTGTACATGCTTTAGCAGCTCAGGATATTCACTCTTTTTTAAAAGGGCTGCAACCAAGATGTCTATTTGCAGTGGGTCAATGTAGGATCAAGGAGGGACACGGAGATGCCAAGCAAGTGAAATGTCTAATGGGGAGGTTGATTTTTTTTTTTAGCAGGATTCCTGTTTCTTCTTGTTGGTGCATCTGACCAGTTAGGCTCAAAAATAACCCTCAGTTGGAGTGATTCCACCATAATATAGCAGAGTACCAGAAGGAAACTTCATAAGCAGCAGAAACTTGCATGTGATGAGCTGGGATAAGCTTCTATATTTTAGGATGACACAGGATTGCAGAGTCAGAACTTAAAGTTCAACGTATCTATTGAAGTAAATAAAATACATTCTTGATCAAAAAGGTGTCAGAGTAACTAGCTTACTAAATTTCATCTTCTAAAGAGGCAAAAGGGTAGAAAATCCAAGAAGCTACATTTTGCCTAGAGAGAGGCAAAATGTGCATCCTCCTAGGTAGAAAGAAAAGCAGAAGAGACTGGAGAAATGGTGGATGACTTTTATTGCCCAGGGCAATAAAAATACCTTTAAAGAAGTTCCCTCATAGAATTCCATTCCTACATCATCAAACCAGAGGAGACAGTGGTGAAGAGGAAGAGTAAAGCCAAAGCCCTTTTGGGAAACATGCCTAGGAATGTGGGGCGGGGAAAAGAATTTCTCAGCCTAATCCTATCTCTATCTACTCATTGAGGTCTGGAAATTTGATGGCACAAGAGACTTGTGCAGCTCAGGGATGAAACCCAACACCTCTTGAAAGTAAGGCCATTTTGTGTACAAATACCCCACCACTCAGGTTTCCCATAATTCAGAAACTATTTCAGGGTACACAGCAAGAGCAAATGCTGGTCCTACCATTAGGAAATGTGAGGCAGTGGTCAGATTTTGGGTGGCCTGAAAAAGTGCATCCAATGGGTTGGATTGCTAAAGTGACCCTGGAGAATAGCTTGATTGGCTTTCAGTGCCATGCATCTCAGTTGGGTTTCACCCTGTTTACATTGGACTCAGGCTGCAAACACTTTTGTGCTACCCTGGTAATCTGTATACAGGCTGTCCCCAAGTAAGGAACAGGATAGGTTCTGGAGGTTTGTTCTTAAGTTGAATTTGTATGTAAGTTGGAACAGGTACTATACACACATATATGTATATGTRTRTGTGTRTGTRTATRTRTATATATATATATATATATATATATATATATATATATATATATGCTTTGGACAGCATAGGGAAGGGTTAACACTCTTGTGTTTGTTTTGCTGCCTGTGCCCCTGTTSAGAAGTTCTCACCCCTCTTTCTCTCCCAGTCATAATTGGATTTTGACAAATTTTGCTTGTTGTGGAAACAAGGATTTGAGGGCCCTTCCACACTGCCCTGTATCCCAGAATATCAAGGCAGAAAATCCCACATCCCAGATAACCCAGTTCAAAGCAGATATTGTGGGATTCTCTGCCTTGATATTCTGGGATACAGGGCAGTGTGGAAGGAGATAAAGCTGTATTGGAGATACCTTTTCCCCATGATAGAGCTCTCGGGGGTAAAAAAACCCTTTCTAGGGGTAGATTTCTCTCACTTCCTGTTCTGTCACCTCCGTTCTTAACTACGAGGCAGACATTTGTAACTCGGAAACTGCCTGTACTCTGAAACTCCTTTCTAGGGTCCTTCCAGGTGATAGTATGAAAGCTGGGTCCGGAAGCTGCAAGCCTTAGGKAGAGGCTGTGAATAAGGGAAGAGAAGGGGCAGAGGGAGGGCGAAGGAAGGATAGAAAGGAGGGGACSCTTAGGGTAAGGGTTAGGGCAAGGTTTAGAGTTTGGGTTACGGTAAGAGTTAGGGGTTACGGTTAGGGTACGGTTAAGGGTAAGGATGAGGGTTTCACCATTGAAGAACTCTTACATTCCTTCTATATTGTCTGTCTCTGGCCTGGCTTACATTAGCTAAGTCTCTCTTGTGCTAACAGCGCTCCTGAAGAAGCAATCCAGCATTTCCTTAAGGCTCGGAGCTTCTGGACCCAGCTATCATACTCTTACCCTTCCACTCAGCCCTATATCCCAGACATCCGTAGGGATACCAAGGTGCTTGTTTATAAAGCTATTGTCCTCCCAACCCTGCTATATACCTGCGAGACATGGACAGTCTACAGACGTCACATGCAACTCCTGGAAGGATTACATCAGTGTTGCCTCTGGAAAATCCTGCAAATCTCTTGAGAAAATGTCAGCGTGCTGGAAGATGCCTGCCCACCCGACCACCTTCTCCCAAAAGTAGTTGCTCTATTCCGAACTCAAGAACGGAAAATGGAATGTTGCTGGGCAGGAAAAGAGATTTAAAGACGGGCTCAAAGCCAACCTTAAAAACTGTGGCATAGACACTGAGAACTGGGAAGCCCTGGCCCTTGAGCGCTCCAGTTGGAGGTCAGCTGTGACCAGCAGTGCTGCAGAATTTGAAGAGGCACGAATGGAGGGCGCCAACCCC